TCATCCCCCAGCCTGTATCGATACCGGGGTTGCACCGACCCAGGTGCAGGACCCTGCTCTTGGCCTTGTTGAACCTTATGAAGTTCAACAAGATCTTTAGGAATGTTTCACATTATCATCTACTTAGCTAATACAGAATTTATTTTTTTTTTAAATCCTTCAAACGTTCAATAAGTTGATCGTAGGTCAGTTTTACAGTCCTATGCGTAGTCATTGTTCTTGCACTCGTCTTTCTCATTTTCATCATAAAGTCCTGCCCTTGCCTCCCTTTTTGTAATGGCTCTGCTATTCCCTAGATTTGAACACAACGTATCTATTCTAAGTAAGAAATTGCTCAAAATTTCTGCTTAGAGAAGGCTCCCTGTTAGAAATTAATGAAGAGAACACCTTTAACTGACAACTGACACCAAATTCTGTTAGATTGACTGTTACAACATTGTGACTGCTGATTCATACCCATTAATCCGATGAGAGTCTGTGATGGTTAATAAATAGACTAAAGAAACTATGAATGAAATACAGGGTATGATAATCTATTCCTGAATCACTGAGTACTTCTGGAAGCTAAGAATAGACTTTGAATAGCTTTAGAAAGTTAAATAACTCTTTTATCTGATAAATATTTGCTTCCACCAAGGAGCACTGGCAAGTTTTAAAATAGTTGACCATTTGATGTATGTCAATAGTTTATCTACTGATGTGTGAATTTTTGGTGGTTAGAAATAGCTTTGCTTTAAAGATGTGATCAGTGGTGCAATGAGTTCTTTTATTTTGAAGATGTATTAGTTTGGGATAAATCTGTTAACTTGGAAGTTATAGTTCCATGAAAACATCCACTGAACAAGTAAGTCCAGGGGAGTCTCAGTGAAACACTGATCTTTTTTCTAGCACTAATCTCAAAATAATTGTGCTAATGGACAGGGTGGATATCAAACTTTTCGTTTTCTAGGTAGCAATTTTAGTACTTTTTTTTTTAATAATGATTCTCCATAAAGCTCTAGACCTTTTAAAATATGCTGTAAGATGTATTCCTAGATGAAATACATGCGAAGATTGCCCTCTAGAGGACATTCTGATTTTTTTTTTTTTTAAATGTATGGTTGTGGGAGGGAGGGTTATTTATTCCTCCTGACCTCATCTTTATTTTTTGTTTTTACACTGCATGTGTTCTAGGAGGATGAAATCCCAAGGGAAAAAAGGTACCAAAATATCCTGTACTCTGTTGGTCATCACTTGATCTATCTCCACACATCACATTGTTTTTACTTTGTATCCTGTAGCACAGAAACTAGAGGAACAGTTGGACTGTATCTGCCTATATTACAACCAGACCGATATGCTTAGCCTGGTTAATTGCCACCCCATGATTAAGTGGCCGAGAAGTTCACTTAAAAGGCAGCTCCACCACCTTCACTACTTTCATTCCTGTGTAACTTCACTATGTTTGCATTGTAGCATAAAATTGTTTCTCTTGTTTTGCTATGCTACCTGTAACCTTGACTCATACCTTGGTTTCCAGCACAATTTTACCTGGCATTTATTGCTGCTTTGAAGTTAGCAAAGAGCTAGTGTGGAACAGCTGATGATCCAAAACAGGAGATACACACAATTGTCAGATACAGACATCCATGAAGAAAACAGGTAAATACAGCAAAATTTTATTAAATATACCTTCCAGTTCATGACCATCCACTGTACTATTGAACTTCCAAGAAATTTTTTTGGCAACACAGGGACAAAACGTTCACAGTCAACTCAAGCTTACTTTCAGTCTCACCTACTACTCAATCTTACTTGCTACAGCCACTTGGTACGCATAGGATCACTAGAACTAGAAAGTTCAAGAACCTTTCCTGACCCATTAGTTTCTTGCTATGGATCTGAACATAGTATCCCAAATTAACTTCTACTTTCATTGTAGGATCAGGAAGAACAAATCCTGCCAAGCTCTTAATTTTCTTACTCTTTCTGCAAACTTCATTGTAGTATGTATATGCATTTCTTTTGTTTGCCTATACTTACTTTTTTTACCAGTGGGGGGATAGAATGGTTTACAAAATCAGAAAACTGCATGTGTGAAGCCCCATCTTTAGCATCTGAGATAATTCTAGAAACTGACTAAATATAGAAAAATCATCAAAGAATGGTCTTTCTCTGGTCTGCTCTGTCTTTCTGTGGCGATGCTGTGTCAAGTCACATACCTACTGCACCTCTAATGCCCCATTTCATGTTACATGTTCTCTTCTGAAGGTTTGCGGAAGTGCTGGGTTTTTTTTTTTTCCTTCCAGTCATACTTTTTACCCTGCTTGATCATGTAGTAAAGTCAGAATCTTCTTTCTTTGTTGTTTGCCCAGTTTGTCCCTTACCACAGATAATAAAAGTAGTGTCACATCTTGATCATTACTTTTAAACAGGATCAGGGAGGAAGAGTTTCTGGCAGGGCAAAAGCTTGATTAAATCAACTCCATAGTCTAGTAATTTAGGCAAGACAAGTCATGGTTAAAAGGCTTTATATGAAGTGAAAAAATTTTAAAAGTCCTTTTAAGTGTCCTGCTGAGTACATGTATATACTTGTGTATCCCAACCTCTTCCTTTCTAGTTGCCTGATTTAAAAAAGTAACAATTCAAGAACATTAAAAAAACTCCCACATGATGTTATAAAGTGTATTGCAGAATTAATTTGACAATAATCATATTGTATGTAAACAAGTTAATTTATTTTTCGGTATCAGGGTACGGAAAATAGACAGGAAAGTGAAAATTGTGTGGTAACTTGTAGGATGCTTGCACTGTTAAATACCACGTAATCAGATTTCGCAACAAATCATATGATTTGATTTCAATATACCTTGAACTCTTAGCCTCATTTTACATTGAAGGAGTAGAAGGTTCACGTATGAAACACATCTTAGAATGGTTTTATCAAACAACTGAATATCAATCTTACTTGACTTGCGTATCACTTTCCTTTTTATTCAGTGCAAGTAATAGCTTCTACATTTTAAAGTCCTTCAGCACGACCATTTTAATTCAGGCAATGTGAAATTCTGCTAGATTATCTTGACTATAAAAGCTACATGTGTATATGCTAGAAGTGAGTTCTCCGAATCTGAGTTCGTGTTCTTCATTCAGAGATGGGGTTGTTGCGCAATTTAGTCACGCTATTACATTCTAATTGCATCCGTTTGTTGACAAAATCAATCTCTGCTGACAGCTTTATGCCACATACAGACAAAGCCACTGCCTAGCTCTTAAGAGCCTTTTCAGCGTTGTTTCATACAACCAAAAGCTGTTTGGCCTCAATATGAACCTGCATCTTTAAAACCGTCCATGCTACCTGGTGTATTGAAAATAAGATGTAATCTATATAGCCACTTCATTAGGAAAGTTAATCATAAAACTGAATTTTACCACATTCAAATAGTAGTTTTAGCTATATATTTTGAGTTCTTCTTCTACACACTGTGAAAAAAGGTTAACCACTTGGTTAATGTCAAGACATCCATTCTGCAGGATTGCTTCCATTTCACTTATCTTCTGTTTCTCCAACTCCTGTATCTCTTTCAGCATCTCCTTACCTTTGCCCTGCAAAGAGAAATGTCTGTATTTCACTAAAAACTATACAGAGTACGTAGTGTTCATCCTAACAAAATTCTGTTCTACTGTCCTTATTTTAACCTCTTAATAGCTTCTAGGGCACAAGTTTGTGTTTGTAGAAGGTAGCACCATGACAGGTTTTCTTAGGTATCTTTCCTAATATCTAGCACTCACTTCATCTCCCTGCATCCTTGTCTGATGGATTGTAAATAAACAAAATTAAAGCTGCTCTAGGTATTTATGCTACCAAAACTTAAATGGGCATTTGTCTTATTTTTTAGAAGATGTATCTGTAAATAGGAGAAATGCTACTGTTAAAAGTAAGCAACTACCTCCCTGCTTCACCTTTGTGTCCAGCTATCTTTGTGATCATTTCCTTTCCTGTCCATACCAAGCAATGATAAAAGGCATGCCCTCCTTACTGCCTGAGACCAGGGTCCTGAAGAGTTTTAGTACTCTTATCAGGAGCTGTATATTTGCCTATGGCTGCTCAGGCATTTCCCCATTATCTGACTAGTGCAGGACTATGTGTGGCCTGCTGCTTTGCAAGATGAGCAGTATAGATAGATACTTGTCTGGGGCTAGGCCTGGGGGTACAGCAAAGTGCTAGTTGCGATTTTTAGTGTTTGAAACATATGCCTGCCAGATGCCAAGACAATGGGCTTCTGGTGCACCACAATGTTCTTTACAATCCATCAAAGGGCATTAAATGGTATCACATTAACAAAATGTGAGCAAGGAGCTTATACAAACCACCTGCTTGCATTGAAATCTAATTTAATCAACGTACCTTGATAGTTTCCATAACTACAGCAGCACTTTCATGTTTTTTATAGAGCTCATGTCTTCGATCTGGCTTATTCTGAAAACGTGGTTGCTTCTTAACTGGATCATTATGACCAAATGTAGGGGAGCTAGTTTTCAATAACTGAGTAATATTGGGCACAAAAATGAAAGGCTTGAATACAGACCTAGAAAGAGAAAATAGAACAGAGATCCTTTACTGATACAGTTTTGTAAAAATTGTTGCTGTGTTTTTTCCGAATTCTTCTAATTCCTTCTTCTAAGAAAGAAGTCTTAAAAAAAAAAATCATCTCCTAACTGATGCTTACGTCAGTGTCACAACAGTGTTTCACTAAGTAAGTTGGTAGATAGCATTAATGTACATAATGTACATTATGTTCCTCCTACTTCTTGATTGTGCTTTTTCAGGGGAAGAAAAAAAAAGGCAAAGCAAAAAGGAATATAATTAGACAAACTGCAACATTTGTCATTTAGATATTTGCAAATTTTTGTGCTAATTACTTGTTGCTACATCACCTCGCAGGATCTGGAGTTCCGGTAAAGAAGTGAATACATGGCAGATTAGCCTGCTGAGGCAATACAGACACCATGCTTCCAGTTGTCATAAATCCACCTTCCATATTAATGCCACTCTCTTTGTCACGAAGAATTTCCATCATTATTTCAGAAGTGATAGATCCTATTTAAGATACAATACAATTATTTACACACAGTGCTACTTATAATACCAACTAAATAGCATGTTCTCTACAACTGGCTGCTTTTTCCTTTAATAGGCAATGCCAATTTTAGTTTGTCCGTGTTGGCAGAAAAAAAAAAAATCATCCTAACAGCATATCTTAATGTGTAATGCACTTAAAAATATTATTGTTTTCCCCAAAGTATTTATTTCAAAGAGTAGGTGATAACGAGCTATAACATTTATGACTTGGAAAAGGGGGAGGACGACAACACACAATGTTTCCCAGAAACTTAAAATACATATGGCTAGCAAATGGTCGTTCACACAGTAATTTTTCAGATGAAAATTGGTAGCTTGGATTAAAGGCTGAACTTTCTGAGCACTGTGTGGAAGTTAAGATAAATCACTGTAATAGTTATTGGTATTTGTACACAGTTAATACCACGAGGTTGCTTTGCAAATGTAAAAATTATAACAACTGTGCATGGATTTTGTGTAGCTTTGAAAATGAAACGCCAAGACTGTCACGTCTTTTTTTTTTTTTTTTTTTTTGTAATTTATTTTAATCATCTGACCTTCCAAAGCACTTAGGCTTCAAGTTGACAATTGAAAGGATGCACTGGAGTAACAACATGTTCTATACTCAGAATCAACAGAAACTACAATAGTACATCCTCAACTACCTATGTGAGGTGCAGTGCCAAATGTCTCTGAAAATAATTCTTTCTTCTCATTTAGGTGAAAAAAAGCCCTTTACACATATGCCTCTGCATCTAGTGTTCAGATGATATTGCTGTTCATGTAGTTATGGCATGCTGTTCATGCCAGTTAAATACTGGCATGGTATCATTAGGCAATCCAATATTCTAACAGGGAGCACTTGCAGTAGTTTTCTTTTCAAATTTGGTGTACCAGTTGAGCATCTGCTCATGGCAGAAAAACATCAGTTCATTCACTGTTTGTTTTTTTTTTTACTTGAAGGTATCATGTACCATTTAATCTTTTAGTGTTTCCCTCAGTGACGCTCTAGCTGCATAAATATTCTTTTTTTTTAAACTGCCTTGCTGTTTCCTCTCAAAATAATCATTCTGCTGCTAATTCAGATGTCTCCAATATTATTTTTTATACATTATTCAAATTGCCTGTAAGCAGGCATGCAGCACTACATTTTAGCAAGGAACCACTCTTAAGTATTCCCACAGTTGCCTAGGAAAGTCAGAGAATTCAAGAAATCGGCGAACTAGATGAATCAAAGAAATTAAAAGAAGCAACAGTCAGTTTGTCAAATGCAAGTTGTCAACTTGTCCAGCAGGAAAGAAGGTATTGCGTATTTTCCACTAGACTTTTTTATTATTTTGTATTCCTGAAGTATATTCCCTGTTTTTTGAAATATAAATAATGTTTATTTAGAAATGGCCTTCATGTGGTAGGCAGCCTGGAAAAAAACTGTAAAACCAGTGAGTGAAAAAGCTGGGAAGGGTAGATTAAGAAACCAGTGATTTTACTGATGCTGTAAACCAAATAGCTTTTAGTTAGGGCACCTATTTAAAATAAACCTAAACAAACTGAAACCGTATGAGGCTGATAACCTGAACACCTAGTGTGATTTTTAAAATGGCTCAGGTAAATGCCTGAAAATGGGGATTTAGAATGAAAACACTGATAGAATCTCAGCATTGTTACAATACAAGTAAATACAGGTACTATAAAAATGCTTTCAGTATTCAGAACCTGCAATTCCCAAAATGAATGCAGAATTTACATGATCACTAGTGCAAGATAGCAAAAGGTGATTCATTCATTTAGCATTAACTAAATGCTAAACCTGGTCTGGCAGAATTCAGCCAAATAAATACATAAACACAGGGGTGCAATGTAATTTTGGTTCAGATTAATTACTTCAAATGACCAAGTGAATACAGATGCAGCAAAAACCTGCCAGGTGGATGCAGTTAAAAGAGAAGTAATAGCTTCTTTCTATAGAGGTCTGAAAAATAAGTGAATAAGTTAGTGATTAGGAGCACCTGCTTAGAGTACAGAAAATTACTTTATTCTGCTCTCTGTGTTTTATTAGACTACACAAGGTTAGAGTAGCAGTTGTAGTGAAACTACAAAGATTTAAAAACCAACCTCAAAAAGTAAATGCAAAATATGTAACTGAATGCTGTGCTGTTGTCTTAGGCCTATATGAATGGTACCAGACTGAAGTGGTTCATAAGGTTCTGTTTGTGGCTGTAAACCACTGGGAGTCTAAAACAGTTTAAAAAAACAGCCTCTGTTTTTTTTCTTAGAGGTACAGTAATAATATATGGTCTATCAAAATGTTTCAGAGCTAGGTCTTATGGAGTATTTAGCGATATGGTCATAATGTGACCTCTCAGTGTTGTTACTGTAGCTGTGTGTGTTTGATATTTGACCCTTGTTTTAATTTTTCCTCATGAACAAATTGTCAAAAATGAATAGAAGACTTCAAGTTCAGCGTTTCTCCTTTAGGCAAAAAGTTATTCTAGTAAGTTCCAGTTCATCAAATCACGGGAATGATTGCCCACATCATGTCTAATAATTTATGATTTAATGTAGCTCACTAAATGCTTTGCGTATCTTAAAAAAAAAAAAATTATCAAAAATGATACCTTTGTGTTTGTTCAGAAGTTTATAGCCTTCACAATATCGGCCTCTGGATGTGGTCATTCTGGCAGTATTTACATAAGAATATGTGGCAGCGAAATCAAATTCCTTTTCCCCATCCCACCAGCCCTTGCTTTTGGCATATTCCTTCAATTCTGGGTGTTCTCTGTCAATCTTGGTTGTGATGGAGAGCTGGTTGGAAATATTCCGTACACCTCCTGTTTGTAAGGTCAGGAAAGAGTCTCTTTAATACATCGAATGCTTTTTCTTGGTATTTTGTTTACAATTAGCTTACTAAAGCAAATTATGCACTGAAGAGTTTCCTACAAGATCTGTGAGTCCTGTGGTTTAGTTTTGGCTCTCTCTCCCTGGCTATATGTATCCTTCTGATTGAAATTCCACTGCCACTCTGTTCTGACTTATTTACTTCTATTGCCAACGTCGTATTTCAGGTTCTGTCCTGATCATTCCCATCTTTACATTCTTCCTCTTAGACCTCCAAAGACATAGCTTGTCCTTCTAAGTCCACTGGAGGAATCAGCCACTTCAGGGCCCACTGCACCAATCCTGTCAGTATTACCCTGTCACCAAATGAAATTGTCATCGATTGCCACCATCCTTAAGACCATACATACTGCTGTCATTCTCATGATGACCTTCTTGCTGTCCTCTGTTTTCCAAGTGCAGAAGTGGTCATCTCTGACTCTGAAAAGGCCCCCTGTGACTCAGCTCCTCTGTGAAACTGCTAGCCTCTCCACACTAATGCCCTAGGAAGCAACTCCTGTTGTTTACAGGCACATGTACATATCTGGAGGCTAGTTAGATGCCTGAATGAAACGGTAAATGAAAAGTGGAGACTGCTAATTGTCGTTGCATTTGAAATGTTTAAAGCAAAGAGCATCATCCATACCTTCTACTTTTTCTGCTGCCCAGTATTTTCCTGATGTCTCCAGCACCCATGCTTCCTTTCTGTCGGCTATCAGAAAACTGTTATGGTATGTAAATACCATGTGGCTCTCCATACAGTTTCCTCCCTGTCCATATTTTTCTAGCAAATCAACTATGACGGTAAGAGCCTTTTCAGCTGTGTCCGCTCTCTCGAGTCCAAGCCTAAAACAAAAGGAAGATGTTATTTCTGCAATTGTAAACTTTACTTAAAACTATCCAGCCTGAGTATTCAAATTGAATTGGAATGCTATTTCTGTATATACCTGATGCTTGTGTGATCTGGTAAGAGAAAGGAGCAAGTCCTTTAAAGGGCTTGTTTGAAGTAGGTCCTGTGTGTCCTTGACACGGGGAAAAACAACCAAATGGAAATACAGAAAAGCAGGGAGAGGGCTCCTAGGAAACGCCTCCAAGTCCCATGTGGGTATTGGGCTGGGGGGAAACAGTACCAGGAAGAATTGACTGACTGCTGTAGGTTAATGAGTGTTACACTGGCACCCAATAAGGCAGGCAAAAGAAGCTGTCATTATTTACATGGAGATGCATGGCCAGGATTGAAACTTAAAAATATGCGTGTAAAAGATGGGGGAAGTGGGAAATGAGAACAGACTCTAGAAAAAGGCCCAAACACTAGGTTCTGAAGTCCAGCTGTGGTCTAGTTAAGAGTCTTGTTTCAGTTTAGTATACGCTTTGTAGAGAGAAAACATTTCATGATTTCCTTGACAGATTCTGTTCGAGTGCCTGATACCTCTAATGGGCTCCCAGCTCCTGGCAGGATCTAACGCCTGTGCCGAGAAATACTTATTTTTAACCATCGCTAAAACAGCGTAAGAGACAGACGTGTCTTCTGAAAGTGAAAGCACGTATTTCCCCATATAACTCAAACCGAGTGTTTTTGAATTAAATTCTGAACTCAGTACCATTTACCAAAATAGCCTGTGCAGACCTTACGAGGTCCATGCCGAGAAGAGCTTCATCGCCGCAGACCTCCTCTCTCCCCCACACCGCTTCGTTCCCGATGCACACGCCGTGTTCGTTGGCCCCCATCTCTGCCCCCCAGAGCCAGGAGGGGCGGCTCAGGACCACGGCGTGGGTCTTTTCGACTTGCTCGATTTCGATGTAGGTGCACTGCGAGAGGTCAGAGCACGCAACAAATTATCTTTCACCCCATCGCCTCGGCGAGTATCTCCCCTTGATTAATCGGCCCAATCGCGGGCTAAAAATGCGCAGAAAATAGGATGAAAGGGGGTTTTTTGCCGCCTCCCGAAGGGCCCGTCGTGCCCCGCGGCGGGGCCGCCCCCGCGCCCTCACCTCCAGCGCGGCGCCGGG